TGGTCTGAACAAGAAAAGGGCACTTAAGGGAGTAAGACTACAACTTGCTCTTCTGGGTTACATTAAAATCCATTGATTTCCATCTGTTACTTGAAGAAAACAGCGCATTTTTGATAAAAATAAAATTGCTTATTTTGGAGAATATATGTTAAATACATTTGATGTTTACAGTCTGTAAATTGGACAGTTCTGTTCTTACAAGTACTTAATAATACACGTAAGAGGAAGCCACTAGGTGTAAAGACCTATTTTCACTCTAAGCACAAAAAGCTCCTTCATTCCATTACGTCATTAGAAGCACTACAGAAAGCGTCCCACCTGCAAGTCCACTTGCCACCTCATTCAGCAAAGCCCCTGTGCTGAAAAGCACTTGTGCGTGCGCTTAGAGTTCAGCATGTGCCTAAGTACTTTACTAAACAGATGTCAACAGCTAGATCTTTTTACTTTCCAGGTTAATTTCATTTCCCCTTTGCTCCTCTTGCCTCAGAAAGAGGAGAGATCATTGCCACTGTAGAAAGCCGACCAGTCAAACCTGCAACTGCTTTTTTTCCTGGGACTTCTGCAGTAGTCAAACCCCAGGTTTAATACTGCAGTCAGACACACTGAAGACACCTGCGCTTTTACAACACATATGAACACGTTGGGCCAAACATAATGGCCCAAATATATAATAAAACTCCCAGGTTTCTTTCCTTCTCTGCAACACCTGTGACCCCAGTTTAAGCGGCTGGCTGCAGCGGCATGTGAAGCTTTGAACCACAGGAGCAGAGCAGAGCAGCTGGGATACCCTAGCAGACATGACCTCTTCTACTAGTGTGCATTACGCTTTGATTAGGAGCTTTCTTTCGCTGCTGCAGATGGAAAATACCTGTCACCAATATTTGCCCGTTCACATGAAACACGGGAGCATTAAAAGACAGGATTAGTAGCATAACTTCTCCAAGACTGCATTCAGAGGTGACTTCACCTACACATCTCCTACTGCTTGCTCCCTTACTCCCAGGGCAGGAACATCAAACCTACCTCGGTGATGCTAAACTCAGGTTGACGGTCTCTTCAGGACTATACTTTAAGTCAAGTTTTAGATTATAAATCCTTTCAGTGTTCAGTCTAATGGTATCCGAATCTTCAAAGGCTGCCAAAGTGTGTATCAGAGCCCTGCAGACCAACCGATCTTCACAGAAAATAAAAGGCGAAGAAGAAATTGTTGTTAGGATTTGAAATACTCTGTGAATAGCAAATTCAATAGGAAAAATGAACTAAAAGACACGTGTGCCTTATACACTGTCATTACAAACTGCCACGTGGGAGCCTGCGGAATGGTTAGCCATTTTTCAGTCTACTCACAGTGTCCAAGTGGCTTTGACGTGCACTGGTGGTAATTTAGCTAATATTACTCATGTGGGCAGAGAAGCAAAGAATCAACTTAAAATTAGGCAAAATATTTGTAATTTTCTGTTAAAATAAGGCAACGGTTGCTATAGAGAGACAGCAAACTACGGTTTTATCACACACGAGCTAAATCACAGACTAAAATAATTTGATTTTGAAATTGCGGCAAAAGTTTGCAAATTATGGTAACCTCTTTGTAACAGAGTGGTATGGGAACTACGTATGTTTTGGGGTAGCTAAATGCATGCAGAAAATGAAGATGAGCTTTCTAAAGCTAAATAGGGGATACAGTCGTACTGAAATTCATGGCAACTCTGTGGCTAGACTTTCTAACCAGCCTCAAAAAAAAAAAAAATCCTTTTTTGTGGTCTATACTAAGTCAAGAAAGTATTATTAAGATTGCCAAGTCAGGCATTCAAGAGTGAGGTAAAGTCAGAATTGAGGCCGAATGTTCAACCTTAATTTGGCCCCTTGTGAGCATGAATTATGATATTGCCTTTAATTAGATGATCACACAGTATTTTTTCCTATGCCTCATTCATAACACATGATGGATGGTGCTCACTGAATGATGAAACTGTATTTTGTTTTTTCCTTGGGGTTCAAGGTGTGGCAGCCTGCCTTATTTACTGCACGCTATATTCTTCTCTGACAACAAAACTAATGATTCCTTCACAGAGTTTTCTGTGTGGTTTATCATTACAACTATGACGTACTGAACAAACATTACTAATTTAATTTTACTGCAGTCCTGAAGGGAAGAGCTAGAGTTTTTTCACTTAGTTTATCCATCTAGAACCTATTCTCGTTGCTCAGGTTTTCATCAAAGCTTTGCTTCCTCCATATTTGGTCTAGGGAGCTTTATTTGCATCAGCTTTGGGAGGTACTGACAATACATGGGAACCAAAGTCAGGGTCCCCCTTCTGGTGTGTGTCTTGGGTAATCAGGCCTGGAGAAGGTCAACAGATCAGGGACGGTAGGGAAAATCCTGTTCAGCCACAAGATGGATCATTCCCAAAGTTGATAAGCACTTTGGAGAATTACCTGTGCACTACAGGGAAGTATAAGAATATTTTTTCTAAAACTTGGAGAAAGATGAATAGATTTTCCTCATAAATTCAGAAGTGTAACTAACATAAATGCTATCCCTCTTCCAAAGACCCAGCTCCACAGTAAGAGAAAAATAGAGAAAAGTTTTCCAGACGTGATTTTTTTTTTTCATAGACTTGCACTTGGAAATAGATGACCTGTTCTGACAAAAAGTTTTCCACCAAAAAAATAGTTCCCCCAAGAGAAATACCTTTCAGGGACAATTTCAGCCAAGATGGTTGAAATTTGGCAAGCTTACAAGTGACTTTTACTTTAGTCATCATTCATCCATCATCTTCCTTAAGAATGATGGATTGCGTAATTCTAAAGGGAATGAACACAGTCTAGAAGAGTGCTCTCTGGGTACACAGGCCCCTAAGTTATTTATATCATGGTTCATACATCATAGGCTGGATTTAATGCTCTAAAATGTTTTTGACTTTAAATACGATGATTCAAAGCTCATAGGAGGTGGAGAACTTTTTGAGATCTGAGAAGACAAATTGAGTTCAAACCTTCTTGGGATACTATAAATTTCCTCAAACCAAATGAAACCCACCACGTTTTGTGTCACATATATTGCCTTTGTCTAGCACTGCCAACCTCAGGGGCTTAACTGAGATCTAAGCTTGGTAGTCTATTTTTTTGAGGTGCTGGATATTCACAAATTCACAGATATGAGCCATGACATTTTTAAGTGTTCCTATGCTGTACCTCTGAAAGGGAGTCGTCTTTTACTTGGACACATACCTATGGATTCAGCTATGCAATTTTGATTTCTGATATTTCTGTTCTCTTTATATTCTTACGACATTTCCAATATCACCTAAAATGACATGGTATTAGAAGCAAAACTTATCATGACCAGGTGCAAAACTTACTGAGAAAGAGGAATCTTTTCAGCAACAGCCCGTTTTTGAGGTCTCAGCCATTCAGTGGTGAAATAAATACAGCAGAGATGTTCAGCCTATGCTCTAGCAGAATGTGTACAGCTGTGTGGCATTTTGGCATTTCTTATTTTTATTTAACACATTCTTTCCATCAGAATGAATTCTTGAATTCAGTGAAGGAAACAATCCCCGTGAAATAAAAAAATTGCAAAAATGTCCTAGGCTTAACAGCAGAGCATGAGTTATGCAAGTTTGTCAAATGACAAACAAGTCAACAAGGTTTGTGCTTTAGGCTTCCCACCCTAAGCTTCAGTTGATAATCTCTCACAATGCGATGTCTGTCACCGCTGCTGCTGCTGTTGGGAAGTACAGCCAAATTCCTCAGCAAATTCATTGTCCACCGGTACTTTCATGCACTACCACAGCTTTCAGAAGCAGTGACTTTAAACAGTTCCTAGCTCACTAAACATGACTGAATCCGTGTTTTCTTTCCTTCCTGAGTTTTGAAAGCCTGTTGCAAATAACAGACATCTTCCCACCTCCAACAACAACCATCTATTACAATCAAGCCCTAGTTATCTGTGGATAGAATAACCATGTTGCACATGTAATGCATAGCTCAGGTCCAACGGAACATAACATTCCTAACGCAAGGCCACATGGCTACAGCTAATTTGCTTCCAAATTCTGCTGGTTTTCTGTGTCCTGTCCTCTCCCTCTGTGGCACCATCAGAGGAGCTCCTTCTTCTTTATCTGGCCACTTCCGTGAACTTTCTAGTAACTTGCCTAGCTTTGAAATCTTTGCAACTCTGATCAAGTTAAAAATTATTGAGAAGACAGACACAGTCACAATGACAATATCACCACAGAAGCCTTATTTTTGAAGGAAACCAACCAAAAAGCACATTGTTGAACTTGTGCACTGTTTCATATGATAGTGTGTACATATATACATTTAAAAAAATACTGTGGAGGCATGAGTTGCACAAGATCAGTTCTCCCAGAACTGTTCAAGAGCAGAAACATGGTTAAGTCATATTAAAATTGCAGAAATCCCTTTAATAAAAATCACACATTAACATTATACATCTTCGAAGTACTCTGCATGTGTTCAAATAAATATATCTAAATACACTAATGAATAAATGTGATGTGAATACCAAGACATTTGGATCTTAAAGTTACTTTTTTATAAATAATTTCTTGCTGAAAATTATTCCATTCATTTTAATTCTAGACAATTTTTCTGCCTACTAGAGTTCCTTCTTGATTGTCTGATAATTAAATAGAATCCTGTCAAGTTTAAATGATCGCTAGTATTTTGCAACTGAATTCCTAATACAAACAGGCATATGTTTAACTTTAAACATTTGCTTACGTGCCTTCCCGAAGTAAGGCTTAAATGCTCTCTCTGGTACAACACTAACAGCTCAGCCCATCTATTGAGAACTTACAACTTGAAAATGCAGGACCAGGTCTTGTACTAGGAAAGGAAGAAGAAAAATCTTCATGTAGAAATAATATAATCTACAGTTGATGCTGGAAAACCTGAAAATATATCATTCAAATGCCATCAATCCATCTAGAATTTCAAAAATCAGCATGAAGAAACAGAAACGCAGGTTTCATTTGATCTTTATTTAGGCCTATTTAAGAAAAGTTGTATCGTATTCAGATAGTCTAACACTGCAAATTAAGATTCTACTGGACCGATAAAACTATTAATATCACCGATTTAAGGCAGCTGTTACATAGTGTTACATTAATATTTCAGTCAGATTGAATTCTTCTTCGGATACATTCATGCAATTAACTTCTACTGCATTTTTACACTGTACTTTGAAATATATAGGATTGTTTGGTTTCCCCATATTAGACCTATCTGGTTAAGCTTTTCTCAAACAATACACAGAATGGACTCATTGTTCTTCTTGGTGGAAGTGAAAAGATTTAATGACTTAATGATTTAATGACTTATTTGATGCAAGAAATGCACATTGAGAATGCCGTGGAGATAAATATACATCTTATATGTGTATGTCACATGCAAGCGTGGAGGAATAGGAATGGAGGTTGAAACATTATTATTATTCTCTGCTAAAATCATTTTCCCCCCATAAAAAACCCAAAAATATCCCTGCACTGAGCAGAGGGCCCATTAAACTTCCTCCTTTCCAAAAGATTCCTCTCCATGCCAACCTCTGTCGGGGATGAGAAATCTTCCATAGAATCATAAACAATCCTCCATGTTGCCTCTATTGTTCAGTCCAATTTCGGCTTTTCTTTTCCTTCTTCAATACCTGAAAACATATGGAGAACAGCTATTAAAAATCTCTGAATGAATAAAAATGAAGAGTTTACTTACTCTAACGCATTGATCTTTCTTTTCCCTCTGTTGCTGTTGTTTCTCCCCTACTTGATCACATGCTCTTGCATGTGTTACCTCACCTGCTGTGAACGAAAAGAGCATCTGCACACCTGATGGCAGTGGTTGTCCAGTAATGAACTGCACAATCCGCCCTCCCTCCGGACTATTTTCAAATCAGCCTAACCCCCTGCCGCACGCTCAGCCTTTGATGGCTGCAGGGGTCTGGGAACAGTTAGTTCCCTCACCTCCTCTGCTTACCTACGAGCAAATTAAAGTAGATGTTATTATAGCTGAAGCTAAGCAGCCAACTTTATTTGAAAGCAAGTTTTTAAAATTGTGTTTCAGAATTCAATAACTTTAACCCCCCCTCCATTTCAGCATTGGATTTTTAAATATATGCAAGTACATCTCCCTTTTTTGAGAGTATGAGAATGAAGAATCAATTACTGTTGATAGGGCACCTCTCTCTTCTTCTAACGGCCATGACTTTCAGTAATATCAGGAGGGCTGAGTTGAGTGTAGGGCTCCTTAAAGAACTTATCCTTGCTGCAGGACTTGTCTCTTTTCTATGCTGAGCAAAGTCTGGGCTGGGCAGCAGATTGTGTTTTTTCTGGCAATGGAAACATTCAGCTATTTCATGTGCCTGTTCCTGGACAATGAATTACTATTGGTATCTGACAAAAGTATTGTTCTTCTGACTAAGCCCTCTCTGCCAGACATCTCAAATACAAATATTTCTTTTGGAGGTTTTCAGGCCTGCTGCATGCTGGAAAAGAAAGACTTCTGAGGACTGAACGCAAAAGAGAAGCAATGTTTGAGAATGCTGAAAGGAAAATCCAGTCACAAGTAAGATCACCTGCTAATGCAATATATGCATACATGGTAGGTACACTGAAAGTCACTTAGAAACATAGTTAATTAATTCCATTACAGGAAACAATAAGACCCATCTGCAGTTAGAAAGCACAACTGCAAAGCTGCCTTGCTGAAAGAAGCAGCACGGAAACAAATGGGTCTGCACATTGCCAGCTGCCCAAGTACAATGGCCCTGGGTGTTGCTGGCAAACCAATGTAATGGAAGAGCCACAGTTGAAGGTTTAACAACCAAAACAAGAGGCTGGGTCCAAAAGATTACAGTGGCTTTACAAGGCTGCTCAAGAGCCAATCTTGAGTCTTTTGCTTTCTGCTGGAAGGAGCTTTTCCAATAGTTTTAAATGAGCTGTTTTATTTGCCTTTTTGAAAGAGCCTCTTTCCTTTCTTCTGAAGCACTCTACTGCAGATGCATCAAATAGAAGATACCCTCAAAACTGTGGACAGACACTGGCTTGTACAAAGGGCAAATTTTTCCTTGCCTACCATGTTTGTGGTTTAACTTGGGAAAACTAACTGCAAATCATTTTGTCAGTAGTGAGGTTTTATTTAATGCATCTCCAGAGGAAAAGGAAAAAAACTCCAAACCCAAACCACCCCCCTCTCACCCCAGAAATCTTCTCATGGCAAACTGCTTTAATTTGCAAGCCTACTGCTCAAAAGCTCCTTTTAAATGTACAGTTTTCAAGTAATATTTTCCCAAGTCTCGCATGGTGACAGACTGGCATTATTTTACATCTCTGCTGTTTGTCGTGTGCCTGCCATACGCTTCAGGTTAGGTTTATGCAAGGTGTTTCAAGCACAGCAAACCAGCAGGTGACTCATGGCATTTTCTGGTTTGCAAGTGCTTGAGCCACAAAGGACTTTGGATCAATATTCTTTAACCAAATCAAGGAAATGATGGAGAGGATAAGGCGGCCATGGTGAACCTTGGAAGAGGTTGGCAGAATGACCCCATTGACGTTAGCTCCTCTAGGGTGGAGGGCCACAAGAACCAGGGATTTTGTTATGCATACTGTGGAATATGTATGCATATTTCCACCATTTTCCACCATTTTCCACCATTTACTTATTCATGGACTTGGTAAGAACATGTGATTCTTCACCACATTATTATTCTTCATACAGGACTTAGGTCAAGTGAGATTATTCCTTGCGGCTGCCTTTTTTAGAAACTTTTTTCCTGAATTAACTTAAATAAGTTAAATAGATGTGAACGTGGCACCAAACTGAGGACTGAAAACCAGACTTGAACACTGTGACCAATGATCGCTGGTTCTAGAGCAAAACCAAAAAGACACTTTATAGCCGGGTGCTAATATGCGCAAATGGCAAGTAAAACTGCTTTGAGCTTCTGGCATTAGGTTTTACCTAGTACTAGAGGACTTGTTAAAAGAGATTTGTGTGTGCAATAAACTACCATGTGAATTTACAGTGTTTTAACCAGTGCACACTAAGTTTCCCAAAAGGGGATACAGGCTGTTCATACGGTCCCAACGTGTTTGGGGCCCAACTAATATAATGACAGAATTCCCATGGAACATGAATTTCACTCCAGTTGTGATTTGCCACTGCGGCAATTATGAATGTTGTTTGCTTATTTTGGGCAATTTGATAAATGAAAACCATCTTTCATAGATTAAAGGAACCTACTTTTAATCTTGTGTTTGTCTTATTTTCCTTTTTCCTCTACTCAGCAATGGGTGGCCCAGGCAGGGTAGATGATGTAGAGTCTGCACAGTTTGCTTACCCCACACTAAGGTGATCTTTCATTCCTTATTTCACTGACATGAACATATTCATTTTTCTTGAGTAAATTTATAAGCAGAAAACACCTTACACCTGAAAATACTAAAAGAATATATTTTTATTTCTAAGTCTAAGCTTACCATTAACAGCATTCCCACAGAATGATACTTTATTCTAGCTGCATTTAATGGGTTCATCAGCTAATAAGTGGGTTGTAAACCAAGTGGGTTGTAAACCTCTCAGGTAATTGCCAACAGCTCTTAAATTAGTATTGGAAGTTATAAAAAAGAATACATATTCATAGCTCATCATGCTCTCCAGCAGCCATTTCGTTCATCCGGCTGCTTTAAAGAGCAAGCAAGCAAGATGTTTCAGAAGAACTGCTGTCATTCTCCTTTGTTTTAGCCAGCTTAAAATCTTCTCAGCTTTCAGGGGAGCATTCTCAAGTCCCGACGGTGTATTTCATCAGTTAATATTCCTAAAACAATACTCACATTTTTGGGTATCCCAGATGTAGTTGTTCAGGACCTCTCCCACCAAGTAGAATATGTTAATTATTACAGTAGCAGCTGCAAAAAAGATTATTTTGACACCTGGGCTGAGGTGCTCAAGAAGCGGGTACACCCACACTCCTGTAACGTGGTGAATCCAGCACACCCTGAAACAAAACAAAAATAACAAGTACTGACTCTTACAGCCCTGTTTTTCTAAAGTGGATTGGGCTATAGGCTTAGCTACTGTAACTGAAAAGCAATTATTTGAAAGGACTGCAAGTTGCAACTGAACTGGAGCACCTGGATGACATCCACCCAGAACAGACATCACAAATGATGAAACTATGACTGATTTCCCACATTCTTACTGCTTTGTTTTAAATTTAATATGAGCAGTTGGCCAATTTTCATGTTCTGATGTAGGCAGGTATTTCCTTACTGCATTTATATTTATGAGGAATACACACCCCTGTTCCGTGCGGCAGCGTGGAAACTGCAGCACCCTCTGTTCCAAGCAGGTTCTTTATCCAAAGAGCATTCAGGGTTCTCCAGCCTCTTCTACACAGCCCAACGCTCTGCTTTCTGTAATGTCCTTCTTTCATTTTGTACTCATTTGTGTGTTTCTGCTGCTTCTCCTTGCTACAGTTTTTGGGTTTGCCAGAAACATATGGTTCAGCTTCTTTTTGAGAGAATAATTTCTTCAGCACCTGTATTTTAGGTTGCTCCTCCTTTTCTTTTGGTCACCTGGTACTATTTGGGATCTAGTCATTTTTCTCTAGGCAGGATAAACATTAAAAAAAAAAAAAAAAAAGAAACCACCTCATCAGTGAAATTCTGCCCAGCTCCACACTCAATATACAGTAAAGGAAAAGGAATGATGGTGGTTTGCTGGTGACAGAGATTTTTAGCATTCAGCTACAGTGGAGATTGTTGGTACACTAACCCAAGAGACAGGGTGTCAGCTTTACTGCAGTGCAGCCTGAAGAAGCACTCCAGATATGTGGTTTCGCTGTGTGTGACTGCAATGGACACCCTTTGAAGGGATAGCTTTTGTGTTGAGATCTGATGTGGTGAGTGGTGAAGTCAGAGGGAGCAGAGCAAGTCCATACGTTCCAGTAGGTGGGAGCTAAGAAAGGCAAATGCTGCCAAACAACTGAGCAAACATCACGGAGGCTAACCGGGAAAAGTGCTCAGTGGAGACACGCTGGTGCCCGTGAGCTGCTGGGCTCTCTTCAAGAATGTAAATCTCTTCCTTTCTGACCTGGCAATTTGAGAGAGAAGCTCACAGTGAAGCACTGCTAGAGAAGACTCAGCAGCTGCACAGACTATTATTGATAGGGATTTCCACGTCCATAAGATTTGCTTCACTTGCTGATACTTCTATTTGTTTAAGGAAGACTTTTGATCTCTAGATCAACAGTCATAAGCTCCTGAAGGGCAGAGACACAGAAGTCCACCCAAAACTGTTACCATAAATGCCTGTCACACAGCAAGTACAGAATCCCTGTTTAATGATTATCCATCACCCTGGAAATGTACATGGTTGTCATAGCTTCCCCCCTCCTTAGGAAAGCTTTTATTACAGCCAAAACCTTAACAGTTGGACACTTCATGTAGGAATTTACATGTGTCAGTAAATTAATCTGCACGATCTAAATGCAGATTAAAAACCCTTTCTCCAAATGAGTTCACATATAGAAGATGATCTCTGTACTTTACAGTTATTTTCCACAACATTCTTCTGTGCCAGAATTAACCTGACAAAATAAAGGTATCTGTGAAAAAATAAAGGGTTCCTTTGTAACCCATGGTAACAGGGGATACCATGTTCCTCTCGATCGAAGGAAAAGATGGGACAGTTGGGTAGAAGGTAATGGGATGTCCTCTACTCCCGGGTTGGCTTAGTGGGGAGTCTATTATTGCCTAACGTTTTTCAGTTTCATTTGCTTTCGGTTTATGATCATTCTGCGAAAGACAAGCTCCAAGGAAAAAGCTTGATAAAAAGACAGTGCTTCTTTTTCACTTACTTTCTCTGGTGTGATGAAACTGCCCAGCACTATAAAGCACCTTTACAGAGGGACTTTTCAAGGGACCTCTAAACTGCACCTATGTAGCCAACTTCATGAACCAAGTAGAAGTGGCATTTACTAGAACGCAATTATGCTGGAAAGAGGGAATATTTTCTAAATCCAACCAATGAGTCACTGATGAGCTCCCAAATGTCAGCGATCTCTGGTTAGTTCAGAGTCTTTGAGTACAGCTCATGCACTCTGCTCTCTGCCGCCCAGCACGGGAGCCCATTCATTGCTTGGCGATACTGCTCATGCGTTGTTCAGTGTAGCTGTTGTACGCCTGTCCCCGGTGCAGCCACACCGTAGGAACTCATGCTTTGAGCACAAGAGGTACCGAGCACCACTTGGGAGACAGTGGTCACAAACCCACCTGATCAGCCGCCCTGATCTTCCTTAAAATGAGTTGTACCACGCCACTCCCTACATCGGGATGGAGTAATGTTAGCCTTCTCTCCACAGAGCAGTGACACACTGACTATTCCTGCACTGCCTATACCACAAACGGGAGCTGCAAAGGGACGACGGCTGCCATGGAAACCTCACCTGATGGCCTTTCTTGGCGGGTTCGTTCCTGCTTGAATACAAGCTATCCCGACGCCGCACAATAAAAGGCTGATCAACCGTAGGCATAAAGCTTCCACACAAGATTGCTGATTACTAATGTTAATGAATGCCTTCAACGTTGCAATTCTAGTAGTCATTATTCCTGTCCAACCTCATTATTAGATAAGCACAGGGGAACATACATTAAGATCTACTTAGGAGTGCAAATCTAGATCCAATTTAAGACCCTGTTATTGAACAGGTATAAAAAAGGGGTCGTTTAGATAAAAATAAATGGAGGAGAAAAAGTTTAAGCTAAAACTGGACCAGCTACTTTTAAGAAGATAAAATAAACTTGGACCTCCCTGTGTTTTGGTTCCATGGCAGCCCATGTAGACATAACCATGTGTTTTCAAAGATGAATGTGTTACAGGTCATCGAGCTCATTTAGCCATTTGTTAGAACTGGTAAGAAAAGAAGGAATGAAAATATTCACACACTGTATTCAAATTAAAGTGTCTGTTAAAAGAAGTAGTGATTTTCAGAAATTTTCAACCAGCTGGTGTAGAAATCAGAAAAAGCTATTTGAAAACACACAATATTGCTTCTTTTTAACAAATCTGTCAAAAATTTGACTTTGTCGCTGTTTTTCACTTCTAGTATACAGTAGATGCTGTATCTCTCCTAGCAAAGTAATCAGGAGGAAATGAAAACTAGGCAGAGAAGATACATGTGTATTTATTCTTTGGCTATAGATCTTTTGTTAATGAGTAAAAGTAACTACAAAAAATTGTCAGAACCTTGTGGTATATGTGTGCTCTACCTGTCGTTTTGAGTAATGCAGCTGTTACAACAGCATGTGTAAAACTTAGTCCTGGTAGAAGCAAGCTCAACACGTGGATATAATGGCAGATAACCATGACACCCGAAAGACTTTGCAATGGGAGACATGTTGCAGAAAATGGTTGCTGCTTCATGATGGCTTCTCTCAGCCACAGGAGTCTCGATATACTTGCACAAGCATCACAGCTTGGCGGCACATTGTGGTCTGAACTCTGAGAGTCTCCACCCATTTCCTGCCCAAGTTGAGTCCTTCAGCGAAATCTGCAGCCAAACAACAATCAGTACTACGTGTTCTGGAAACGGGAATGACTAGATGAGGGGCTGTGTAATTTTTCAAGAGCAGTGAATGAAAGGACACAGAATAATAATGCATGTCATAAAATGGCTGAAGAGCTCCCAGTGCTCTTCCTCGTAACAGAAGCAGCACTTCAACAGAACTCAGAGACAAGAAATATCTTTCTGCATGTTACCCAATTAACCTCTGGAATGCTCTACCCTATCTTTCAGCGATGCATCACTGAAATCAAGATATTCAAAAAAGTTTTGAAGTATAAAATTTTGGAAGTCTAGTCTACTCCTCTTCTCTGGCCTGTATCATGCAACTCTAGCAAGCTTCTGAAGTCAGGAGACTGGACAAGCAATAAGAATGTGTATAGTTATGCTTACGTTCAAAGAGTACAAGGGATATAAATCATCAAGACTGAAGGATCCAAGCATCTACTTTTTGACACAGGTGTTGGGAGAAAACTTTCCTTACAGTCTGGTTATTCCAAAATGGCCTGCTATATCTTCTCCTGAAGTATCTGCCATTAGCTACATCTAGCTACAGCTAGAGCCTGGATACATGACTACTCTGATCTACTGTGGCAGTTCCTTTCTGGTTACTTCTTGCAGCAGCAAATCCTTTCCCACACCTTCTGTGCTGTTCAGGTTTCCACCGTCTGGCAGAAAGGATGGCTGAATCCTTGGTCCCAAACAAATCCTAGGCCAGTTCCCTTTGTGGCTACTCTTTACCACACAACAGAACATGGGCATTTTCTATGTTTTTATTTCATGATCTTTCCTAGCATCGCTCTCTTCCACAGAAAGGGAGAACTTTACCCAGAACTATTGAATTGTGGAACGTCTCCCACAGGAGGTGATGGGCTTACAGCAGCTGAGTCATTCAAAACTTGAACGAACAAATCATTTGTGGTTATAGAGTAGGGACCAACCCTGTGCTTTCAGAGGCAGGAGCACAATGACCAACACTAGATCTGTTCTACCTTTGATTTCTAATACCAACTGATGTGAGACACATTTTCATAAATCCTTATGATTTCCCTCCCTCCCCAAAAAACATAGGACAGCTTGTTCTGCATCTGATCAGAAGTGTTAAGATCTCAGCCACATTAAGATGCTAGGCTTCTTACAATAGCGCCAGCCAGGCCTAAGTTACCTACACCAGGAATGTACATTGTTTAGAAGTTTTAAAGACTAAAAAATAAGTCCAATAAACAGTCATCAGTTAGGAACTAACAGCAATCATCCTGTCTTGTTCCAGTTTCTTCTCCATTGATCTGAGTGGTGCTGAACAATACGTGGGTCATGTGGGACTGTGCTACTGGTATGGAGAGGCTTACGCAGTCAGAAGAAGACAAGTCCTGCAACTGCAGCAGCAAATAATTTCACATGCAAAACATACTCAGCATGACACGGTGCTGGCATCCTCTGCGATTAACAAAGCTTAGCAGAAATTTGTGTTTATGTACAGGTAGCTAGAATGACAGAAACTCTGCAGATTCGCTGTAAGGTGTTGTCATCTTTGGAAGTCATCTATTTTGATAAATAATATTTCATTTTAAATATAGTAATGGTTGCTATGCCTTCCTGAGCTATATTTTAAGGAGCTGCACAAGCAAGTGAGAATGTATTATCCATGCATGTCATCTGTGATTGTACTGTTTCTTTGACTGAAACATTTGAGGATGTGGAGGTGGAGGGGAGCCAGAATGTAACAGTCCATAATGGCTATGTCAGACCTAACAGACTGAGGATCCATCCAGCCTTCTCTTGCTGAAAGCACTTCTGCTCTCCCACCCTTCTTCTGGGTCAGGTACAGGGGACGCTAATCTTCTCCTGGCCTATTTCTGCTGTTTCTACTTCTTCCTACTCTTTCCTGTTCTGAGTAGCTCTGGCTCCAACTCTTTTCTCCTCCTCTGCATTGTCTCATCTATCACCCACCTCTCCATCAGCCTTCCACTCTGATTTCAAAGCCTGTCTCTCTCTCCCCCTCCTGGCTTTTCCCACTTACTTGCATGATTTCAGCTTTCAAGCTGCTGACCTGTGAGCTGCACATTTCCTTACCCATTTCTCTTTTAATCCATGGTTCTAGTTCATCTCTTTTACTTGCTTCAAGGACTTTTCACTTGTTTTTCCCTCAACCACCGATTCCTCTGACCTCTATTGAACTTCTGTCCCCAGTGCTCACTTCCAAAAGCATTCGTGACCCCCTCCCTACACACAGACCCTCAGCACACCCTAGCACAGCCATGCTGTGTCTCTCCTGCTCCATCGGCGCCAGCCACCTCAGAAATCCTTCTGGTTTCTCAATCCTGCCCTTCTTTATTGATATGGCTGTCAATTCCCACCAAGCTTCATGCTCTAACTCTCCACCTCTCTCTTCTGAATGTCAAGATTTGTCCTAGCAGCCTGCACTCTTATCCCTTTGCCAACATCTCTCTTTCTGATCCTCCTCTCCTTCTATGGAGAATTGCTAGTGGAAATCCTACAGCAAGGCTGACAGCATCGATCTCAAATTCATTCCAAATTCTCAGTGTACATTCCTTTCTTAAATTCGTTCAAGAAGAATTCAGCAAATTACCCCATCTAAACACTCTCCCTTGGCAAATCTACAGAACTCTCCTAAAGTCACTTCAAGAGAAACTTTATTTTCAAATGAAAGTTTAAAGGTACCTGAGCTCTTTAAATGGATTTATCAAAGAATGAAAGAATGAATCAAGTCCAAGCTTGGCACATGTGGATTTGAGAAAGCAACGAGAGAGCAGATCAAGTCTTTTGCTCCCAAACATGTAGCCCAGCATGACTAGAGCAGGGGAGTCAGGTTCTTAGGGTCTGTTTTTTTGGCATCCTCAAGCGCTCAAAAGCAGAGGGAACAAGAAAACCATTTTAAATAAACGTATTTGTCTCAGTTTATTTTAGGGACATATTAGGCTCTGATATTAGTTACCATGAGGTCATTCTTATTACAAGGAGCAACACATTTCTGGCTCTTTTCTGCTCCTTGACAACCAACTCCATACACCCATTGGCAGTATTTTCTGGTAGTACTGGCAAGCTCTTGGGTTTTCTTAGCACTGTCTAGATTTAACAATTCAATACAAATTGTGACCTTTTCAAGCCACGCTAAATAAAGCCAATCGGCCTTTCCTGTCTTATCCCATGGCCTTGATCCTGAAAGTCCACGTATGGTCTGTGACAGGCAATGCAAATCTATGAGTGCGCTGCCTGGGCACAGTTCTGTAAGAGTAAGGGAGAGCTCCCCCTCGCAGAGAGCTCATGAGCTAAGTGTGCCTACTCAAATGCTCTCTGACTGAAGGGAGAGAATGCAAAAAAACCAGAAAGAAAAATAGAAAAAGGTTTTACTCTTCAAGAAAGGATGTTTCTCAGATAACATGTCTCTGAATAATGCTCAAGGGATATCAAGTTATTTAGCTATGTTCTTCCAACTTCAGTGATTCCATTCAGAATTGTTTGTCTGTTTTCTCATTTATCAAATATATATAATAAAAGCTTGCTACTCCACCATCTCTTCCATATGTGAAAGATTCAGTCACATATGAAATAAAACAGAAGCTCTCCTCTACTTGGAGTTGAAAAAAATGCATTAACAAAATCAAACCTAAACAATATCCTCCTGTATGCTCCTTTACAGTACAAAGTGCGACGTGATACATAAATCATGTAGCGTGGTAAGAAGGTTTCAGCTGAGATGGGGAGAGAGTTCAAAATTCAAGGGCAAAACATAGACAACATCTGATTAGCAACTGTCTCCACTTTATCCTGAGAGAGTTGCAGTGAAAACACTTCTGCTGAGGGAAGAATAACGTAGGGAGAAGGACAAATTCTCAAGCGGCAGATCCCTAACTTCTAGGTAAAAAAACATAAACCAAGAACTAAGCCCCAGCAGGGGACCCATGGACAACCAAAGCTACAAAGGAAGGATGTTCCACCAGGCTGTATGTAACTAGGTCATTTGCAGGTGTAGTCTCATTTTAATGCACTGTGCTAACCTTGAGAGGTCTAAAAGGTACACCAACAGGGCAGCAAATCTGAATTAAGCAATTCCAAACCCTCTAAGTGATTAAGGTCTCTCCTTCAATGTGGTCACTTAGCAGCAGGAAGATAGTGGACCTCAGCTGTGAAAGGTAGGCACACTCTGAGTGAGAGGGATGAAAAAATCCCACTTTTCATACTTTCTGGTAGATTTTTCCAACCTGTGAATGTCAAGTACATTGTATTGGTATCATCGAGCCAAGATTTGGCCTGCAGCCTCAACCAAATCTTGGATAGAGGCTTCAATAACACTTGTAGGCTGAAGACATGCAGAACTTGCAGATGATGGCACGTGTAGCCTGTGTCTGCCTCCCGTCTTCCCCAAAGACCTTCTTTCATAAGAGTAGAAGGAGAAATGGGCTGTAAGTGCAGAATTTAGCAGGATGACCTTTAGGCTGAATAAGCAATTGTCTTAGACCATCTTTAGAGAAATCACAACTTGGAAGAAGGTGAGTCACTTGAGAGTAGCCCTATCCATTTTGGAAATAATGTACATGTAGGCAAAACCAATAAACACCAAAGCAAAGGGAGCTGATCATAGGCTGTAACTGCGTATCTGCTTAGTAGTTAATTTCTTAATGCAGAATCTTCTTTCCTTGCTTTACCTGTCCTACAATTTCCTTTTACTTTGTACTTTTAGCTGTAGGATGTAGATGCACTGTAGTGGGCAGGATCAAGCCATATGAGTATCACACTGATACTGTAACAGCTTCTTAAAAGATTTTAAGGAACCTCTGGTTTTATTTCACTTGCAGAACTGGATTGTTTCAGTTTTCTATTCCTATTGAATACTATCGCATGTGCCTACTGAGACGATTTTGAGAAAACAGGAGTTGCCATAGCGGGTCAGATCACAGGTACAGTAACTCTGCCAACCTGTCTCTAGGCACCCTTCAGAGGAAGGTTGAGAAATACCACAGTTATGCATTATTATATATGGGTTAAAAAAAAAAAATTCCTTTCTCCTGAAGGAATCATTATGGGGCTTTTTGCATGAGGCTGTCCTTATCTTACAATTACAAATATTATTTTTTTTTAAGAAGGATATGTATGTTTATAAAAGCAAATGGCAGAATGTGACTGTTGCCCTGGGACAGAACATCCCTCTTCAGCTGGATTACTAGCATTTTATGATCACTCAGTGTGTGGATATGTATGAATTGTCTCTTTCATTGGACCAAAGGGGCAAGTTGCGTAGTTGAAGCAGTATGGCAGTACTGCCTTGAGCCTGTGTTCCTCTCTCATTAGTTTTATCTCACTTGACTGGTGGAAAAAGCAGTATTATCCACAATTTTGGAAAATATCCTCTTAGCTGAGGGAAGGGTGTTGTGAGGCGAGAAGGAAGAATATGAGAAATAAAGAGAGGGTCATGAAATGTTTGCGGAAAGGATAGAGGATATACGGTATCAAAGGAGCATTGTAAATAAAACAAAGGTTTAGTGAAAATAAAATGCTAGAATGACCAAAGTAAATAAACTCTGTCATGTAAGTCAGGTGCTTGAATAGGAACTGACTAAAAACTTAATTTAATGTTGTGTAAGAAAGGTTATTTCTATTTTAGTTTAATTTTTTACAAACATTTGCATTTTTAAAAACAAACTTCAGAGTGTTTGGATTACTGGTTTATTCTGTAATCAATTTTACAGAAAGAATTTATGAACTAGTAAAGAAAAAAGACAGTGTTCTATCTTTTCTGTTGCCGCTTAAATACTGATGCAGGAAATCATTTGCCTACTCTCAATTTTATTTGATAGAACAAAAACCTTAAGCAATAAAACTAAGGTCCAAGAAAAACATTTAGCTTGAAAAAAGGTTGAAAAATGTACCCTTGGAAAGACCACTGCTTACATGGGATTGTTCAACAAATTCCTGTTGTGTGAGGTTTGGCATATACTTTCTAAAAATATCAGCATCTGGGGAAACCAGACAAAGCCCAGGTCTTGGACCAAACAAGGCATGCAGAGTGAATCTGTTAGCGATTATATCCATAATGAAATATGTGCCCAAATTTAGCAGGACAAAACCCCCAATACAATATGAAAACACAGCGTGTACAAACCTTACCATAAAATATAGCCAACAGCGAAGGTGCACACTGCAGCCAGTCCACAGGTCCTGCTGGGATACTGATGATGTGTTGTTCTCATCTCGATTAATACAAAGGGCAAAACTGTTGTATGCTGAAAGAAAGAAAACAACGGGGGAAAACCAGGTGAATTACAAAAAGTTGAGGACAATTTCTTGATGTTCTAGAAAGACAAGGTAAAATGACTCTATAAAGTTGATCAATAACCCAAACAATATTGTTGCTATAATGTCCAATTGTTCGAGAGAGCAGAGGAAAACTGAGTGAGCAGAATGTACTTTTCCTTTTGGCCAGGAATGCAAGCGGATACTCAGTAAGTAAAAACGGGATGTGGCATGAGGGGCGTGGGTCCCAGCCCCAGTCTGGCCTTGCAATCTTTGCCACATCACAAAATTATTTTGACCATTCAAGTTAGGAGGCAATGCATCTGATTTTCAGAGACTCTAGGCACAAACAATGCCAAATGAATGAATATAAATTGAAGTATTTAATGCTTCTGAGAATTAGGTTTAAATGTATCTCAATCTGGGGACTTGAAAACAGGGGACATATTTTCAAATGATAGCCTCAATACCTCTGTTTTCTCCATCTGTAAGACGGGAGCAATTATCTTCTTTGGAAAGGTGTTGTGAATCTTAATTTGTTAGTTGTTGTGCAAAATCGTTTTAGATTCCCAAATGAAACATATGAAAGCCAAAGCTGTAAAAACCATTTTCAGCCACTTGTCTTTACTTAGCTGTGAAAGTCCTTATTTTGTCATTTTTCCATACACATTTCCTACACTGCCCCTTCTGAGAAGGTCTGTTCATCCAATTAATGTCAGCAGCATGAAAAATTGCATCTAGCCTGCCCCCAACACTCGATGTCTAGATTTCAGAGTGCTGGCAGGCATGAAAATATACATAAGTGAAGCACAAATGTGCCAGGAAATAAACCCCCTCTTTTCTCAATACACAGCTCACCTAGAACCAGCATTATTGGTGACTTCAGAAACATACCCTGCCTTACCACCATGGGGACAAGTTATCGCTCGTGTCTAAAGGGAATTACTTTGGTTAACAGCTTGGCCCTGGGGCTTGGTGTGACTGCGACTGTGAACTCTCCTGCCCAGTCCACAGGGAGGTCTGCAGGTGCAAGGACTGCAAGGGAAGCCTAAGCCCTAAACCAGGCTCAATCCTTCCCCAAGCACTTGATCACCAACTGGAAAAGAAAGTTATGGCTTACGTTGGCCACGTTCTGCCATCAGATGCGCACGTGTAGTTCTGGGGGCAGCTGGAGGGCCAGATTTGTAAGTTTGTCATAATTATGCTGTAAACTCACACCGATTTTCACCAACGTGAAGGCAGGACAGACATAGAGTAGAAATATCCTTGCGTGGATAAGAGGTCCAAATGAGAGGAAACAGAGCAGGGTCTGAGCCTTTAACAACTGTGGAGAAGGAAGAATTGTTTGAATGGGAAATGATAAGATAATGGAAATGCTCTGGCTCAGAGATGTAACGTAATTTGAATTGGATAACTGCTCTGATTTTCAAGGCATTAATAATTAATGACTGGCATTTGGAGAATGTCAGGTGGATAATACAGCAGTTAGGGGAGCTTCCAGTTTCTTCATCTTTTAAAAACTTCTTCCGCCCCCATCCCTTTAAACAATGTAAATCAGCATCAAGGGAAAAAGACGTTTTACATGTGGTCTGCAATAGAGGTGCCCACTAGTAGAGGAGAGGTCTATAAACTGTGCAGGACCTTCAGAGTCCATTAACAGGGACTGACAGCAAAGCAAGCCCTGGAGATTCACCTGTACGTCTTACATCTGTATGAAAAAGGTCTTCAGACAGAGATCAGTACCTCACTCTGCATAGCCCCCAAAGCAGGGTAGCTGGAGGTTGTGCAAATGTCTCCTGCCCTGCGCAAACATCTCCTGCCCTGCCTCCATAACCTCTTCAGAGAAAAAACCAGAAGACAACAAAGACTTTTAACTCCAAACCCCACCCTTGATATTTCTTGAACAAGGTATTCTTGTCATCCAGTCACTTAGTCTTAACTCTTCACTACATGGATGATGGTTACAGAGCTTGTGAGCTCCGTTTCTCAATTGAAATGTTTACCGCTTTAGATACTGCTTGTTGATGCGCTCTTCATTGATGCTAACAACTCAACAGTTTGCCAATTAAAAAGTGGTTAAAATAATTTCAGCAATCAACCCTTAATCTAGAGTCCTCTTCTCCTTTCCCTCCTCCCAGTTCCTGTGGTTTTATAATAAAATAGGTCATTATTTTCCTAAATTCTCCCTTCTGCTCTTTTCTAAAGGTAGGGGGGGAAAGAAGAGGATAATGAGCTGTATCACTAAAGAGTTTATGTACAAAATCCTGTCAAAAGTACAGTGCAATTATAAGTATAAGGAGAAAATCAGAGACATGTATCTTTGATCTTCGTCTGTTACAGCAAATGTCGATGCTACCTGCAAACACTGCAGTTCTACAAATCCAGAGTATGAACTTTGGTTTAAAATGTTCTAGTGAAACTGCCACTTTAAAAAGCTGTTTCAGATGCTTTACCCAAACTACAACCAAGATAAAATTTCCCTTTCCTCCATTTCAGCCCCTCCAAAAACCTTAATTTAAAAAACATGAAATCTTGTAGGCAGGGATACCTTCTGTCAAACAGTGCCAATTAAAACTCTGGAGCTATAAATACCAAACTTGAATCAGACTGGCACCTGGACTGAAGCCTAGTGAAGGTGAGCAGGGGTCAAATGTGCTTGGAGTGGGATCCATCAGGGCTGGGAAAGCTGCAGGAGGCCAGAAATTTCATACCCTCTAATGTTTTTGCCACCTGATTTCTGAATAAACTTGGGCCAATGGGAATCTGAGACTTAGAGAGAAAGTAACATTGGTGCTTCCTTGACTTGTTTGTTGAAGATCACGCTGTGCTGATCAAAGATGCCCAACTGGTATCTCTGGCACTGCTCCCTTTTACTTACTGGCAGGCTGGAGGACAGCACAACATTTCTCACCTTGTTTGTCAAAGCATCTCCAGGGGCTTACTTGTGAGAAGACTAAGGAATGAGGAAGTGCAAATAACAAGGAGGTTTAAATGGTGAGGATGATTAGCGGCTCTAACAGCTTTCCAGTAATTGTTATTTTGCACCATTTAAAGTCTTTAAGAAAAGGGCAAATTTATAATTAGAGTATAATGACTAGTATAGTATTGTAATAGTAGTAAACTATGCTAGAACTAGTTATCAATCTGTATTGATAAGGCACTTTTATTATGGACTAAGTATTTACAAGCAAAACTGCATTTTTACCTGGACAGCTTATTCTGCTCCCACTGAGACCAGCTGCTCCTGTGAGACAGTTTTACCTGTATGACCATGCTGACACTGGAGACTTGAGCTGAGCAATGCTGCGGGTATGTCAGGGAGCACCCTCTCCGTCAGCCGGGAAGGCGACACTCGCTGCACGTGTGCCCTGAGGTGACCGCAGGCTTGGGGTAAGGGGTAGCCCCCAGCCCTGCTGGGGCAGCAGCAAGGGAGCTAACGAACCCTATCGTTAGCAGGAGCTCTTAGCTTGGGCTCCGTAACTCTATCTACTTGCAAGAAAAGGTAGCCTGTCAGCTTCTCCTGCTGCGACTGTGGTGCTGCCTGCCAAGGTGTCCTCCCAGCCACAAACCCCTTTTTCTCCGGAGGGCCAAGGCAGTGACCCTCAGACCCATTTTTAACCCCTCTCTGAAGGTTCCATCTGCCAAGACCACCTTGTGAGTTGAAGTGTGTCCGTAAGCCCCCATTACCTGGCCGCAGCATTGCCCTGCTCAGACCCCTCGTGCCCCGTCACGGTCTGTCCCTGCAGCAGGGAAGGGAGCTTTGACAGATCTTTATGCTTGCTAGGTCTGCTAGCAAGTGCTGGTCTCTGCAGAGCAGCAAGCTGCGATTTCCTCCCCATTTTGTGTCCACCACACAGCACTGCTTCCTGAGGTCCTATCATCTACAAGTGGGGAAGAAATTTGGCTTGCCCAATCTTCAACTGCTGGTAACGATGCATGAAAACAGAGAGAAACCAGCCCAACGCGCGGAGCTCTGGTGGAATTTGCAGGAAGGTTATAATATGGAGAATTTGATCCAGAAAACACTCGGGATACTGACTCCAAAGGAGCAACCTCTGAGTAAAGCTGAATTAGCACACACTGCAAAAAAGCCACCCCGAGACCTGCAGGTGGATTAATTCCTAGAACCACTGCCATTGCTTCCTGAGAGAAACTCTGTCATTAATGACTCTTTAAAAGATATTTTTAAAATACGCACCACCTCCCACATGGTATATATGTGCCTAATGACATCTGAGACTGGAAAATCACATTACGAATAGGCAGCACATCTGTAACGTTGGCTTGACAAGTTGAGATTAGATGGAGAACTGTGCTTCCCCATTTTAGGTGTGTGCTGCAACAGGTAGTTGGAAAAAAAGATTTTATGCAAATCAGGTACATTAAGAATGAGTTTTGTAATAATCTTTAGGCAAATTAAGTGCTCATTCTTGAAAGCCTGATTATATATTTTATCTTCCAACCAGTAAGAGCTGCTTTTTTTAACACTGTTTTCATCAATACCTTGCTTGGCCTTTTCTCCTCCCTTAACTGTGTTTTAAAGGGAATGTTAAAGCTTTTTGAAAGGTGCTAAATTGACAGCTTTGTACATTGGTATCTTCTGCCTTTAGCACAAATATGGCAATGCTATCTTCCCAAGTCAGCCCATCCTGATCTGTAAAGACTGTCCAGAACTACCTTTACGACAAGGAGTTCAGTCTAAAAAAGCATCCGCTTTCTCAGATGTCCAGTCAGTATGCAGAAGTTCTGCAGGTGAAACCGTTTGGGGATCACATAAATTGTGATTATAATTCACTTCAACTAAAAGAAGACTGTGACTTGTTACTCAATTTGATCAGACTAAAAACTACAGGGTATGGGACATTTTAGTTCAATGGAAATACTGTGGATCTCTACTGAGAGGGCTTCAGTGTGATATTCAGCCCATGCTCTTAAGAGCCTGCGAAAGCCCAGTGAGAATAAAGGAGGCCTTGCAGCTTTGATGTCACCAACATTATAACTGATGGACTGGGAGCCTTCTGGAACTGCTGGTGCTCCCTGGAACAAGGAGGCTGCAGGTGGGTCTTCACCCACAGAACTTATGCAGCCCGGGACCCGGAGGGCTGTGTCCATCACGCGAAGCTGCGTCCGCGTCGAAGCCTCTGCCCTGGCAGGGGCAGCTGCTCCAACATCTGCTGGGGAAACTGCCCTGCGGCAGACCACCACCGTGCCCGAGACTTATACTGGTACGGATTTGACGGAGGCCCCCTTCTTTGCACCCTGCTGTGTGAGCTGCTGTGCAACTGCTGCATCTGCCGGCTGCCTCTGCTTTCTCTCTTTCTAAATTCCTGTCTAAAACCTAGTTTCCATCAGTAGGATGTTACCCTTCACTTTTTTTCCTGAGTTCACAACCAGATTACGTGTTGTTAAACAGCTCCTGCATGTCAGAATGAGTGAAGCAATCTGTCTGCATCTCCTTCTTATCTCTCAGGGGTTTGTGCAGCACCTTGAGATTAAAGGTTTTACAGAAATGACCAGCAAAATGACCTATGCCCATTCCTCTTATTTTAAAACCACTACTGGTGTATTCACCTTAGAAACCAATACTAATAGGCCTAAAAATCCCTACAGTTGTAGTCAGTGCCATTTGTAGAGTAATAGCAGTAATAAAGCTGCATTTTCCCCATGCTCCTAGCAGAGTAACGTGGAGAACCAGCTCAGAAACTAGTAAAGCAAGGGGCACGATTATGATTTACTTGTTGAGAAACTTCTGAGAAGGGAACAGCTGGCAAGAGAGTATTTATGTGTCATCTGAAGGATGATACCTTCCACCAAGGCAGCTTAATCCATAAAGAGAGCAGCAGGATATCAGAGCTGGATACATAATAAATTGGAATCCTTGAGTGAGACTGAGCCCTTCTGAGACTGAAAGCACTAGTAGCACTTTTCCTCTTACAAATGAGAAATTATGACTATTAACTGAGACAGGCTGATGCACAGGATGCACTCCAAGGCAGCCACAGACGGCTCGTTAATTGTTATTGTAGGTTGGAGGGAGGAAGAAGTATTGTATGATCTAAACAAAGACCAATACCCTACAATGCCACAAAACAAACAAGAGCCAGAGACAACCATTTTCAATCAATATAAGAGTGAGGAGTTCTTTGAAAAGAAAATTAACACTTCTTCTTTTATGTTACCCAGTCTTTTCCTCTTTTCTGTAGATAAATACAGTGGACATGGCATATCTGACATAACAGGAATTGTATCATTTTCTCCATGCATACTTAATGTTGACACGTTTGTTCTTGTTTCTGACACATAAATGCAGTACATACTATATATTGAAATAGCAGTGTCAATCTGATCTCACCCCTATGACTGTATTAGTGTCAGGGAGGTTATATATAGGTGTTTATCTATAGAATTTCCACAGTGCCAATCACTGAAGCACTTCAACACCTCGGAAGTGTTACTAAACATACCCTCACAGCAGCCCTGATCTGTAGGGGCAGGATATCCTATCCCCATTTTGCAGGGGGGTAAGATGGAGATGGCAGGCCTCGCTCAAGGTTACACAGGGTAGCTATGGAGGAACGGAGAACCACATCGTATACCTCAGTTCCATTCCTGGGCGTCAGCCTAGGATGAGCAAGCATGTATAGAGAAGTAACAAAAATTTGGTATGAAAGCCAATCTACTCATTCAAGCTTATAGCTCTGAGACATCTTGGCCCTTTCAGCATCTCTCAGTCGTTACCTTGATCGACCCTCTGTCCTGGTTCCCCTCTGCTTTTGGAGGCTTCTTCAATTGCCTCCCTCTGAGCTGTCTGTCTCTCTCCCACCTCAGCTCCTGCTGCTTCACGCTGCTTCCTTGCAGCTCCCACCCTACCAGCCCAAGCAACCCCTCTGTGCCCTCCTGGCCCTGATTCAGCAGCTCCCAGGGCGACGCATCCTCGCTTCTGTCTTGGCCTCTTCCAGTCACCACAGGTCTTCCCTTTGCATCCATCAGTATGTTTGGCAGGCACAGGTAATGCCTTAACTTGACACATCAAAATCTTGGTCACTTGGACTTGAAACAAGATGATGGCAGGGACGGGACGGGACAGGATATGGCACATTTGGTATAGCAAAATTGTGCAAAACCAGTGCCATGTTGCCGAACGGAACAGCATTGCTACATGCTTAATTTTCTTTAACTTTGTATAATCCAGTATAACTACTTTTAATGCATGTCATGTGTCCAGATATCATTAAACACATGCAAAGTGCAATGTCACATAAGTCACCTCTCTCCTTTTGCTGGGATCCCTTAGCTAGGCTTTCTGTTCCTTCCGTGCTGTGCCCAAACTCCCCGGTCAGCTCCCGGCAGCGTGCACTGCGCCGCCGTTAGGAGACACTTAAAATACAAGAGAATCAACAAAGCCCAGGCTCTGTGCACTCAGCCACAGCTGAGCAAGCCCTGCGAACCCCAATTTACTTTCAACTTCAAGTCCTTATTTTTGCCACAAAATCCTTAGAAAAAACACGCCACTAACAATGTGGAACATACACACACATACATCCTGTGCAAGGATCACTCATTAATCACAATGTTATGCAAAGTAAATTTTCTACATCTTTTGTTCAGCTTATTTGCCTCTTACCAGTTAAACCACTTGCCCTAGAATTTCTTAAACTATTTGCAAAAAGATTTATCTTTAGGCAAAGAAATATATTCTTGTCTCTTACAATTATCCTTAAAATCAATGTTTATACATGCATACACACATGCACACACACTCTAACATGTATGACCGAGATTTAATTTGCATGAATGAATGTTGACTGTTTATGCAGGTCATGCTGAAAAAGTGCTAGTAAAGTCATTGAGCCTCATGTATTCCTAGCACAAAAATTACTAAAGAAAGCTTGCAGATGTATTTTAGCAATGGTTTAAAACAATTTTACTCATATGGAAAATAGCATTCCTCTCCTTGGAAAGGCAACTCCTTCCTTATCATGAGTCTGATTGCACAGGCCTCAAAAGGAGAAAACAATTTGTATCAGTATGTTTTCTAAACCTCTTTAACTGACTTGCAAAGTTTATCTGTACATAAAATGTGCCATGTTAAATTCTAATATCTGGCAATCTCCCAGGGCTAGCACTAGGGCTTTCACAGATGGGTATTTTTGGCTTCATGATAGCCAAAGTATTCTCTTTCTAACCTGAAGACATTGGACTCTGAATCTGTCACTGGTCCAGGACTGAATATTGCTTGTCCTGGGCTTTGGGCCAGTGTAATTTGGGGAAAG